GATGTCTAATACCTTCCCCATCGTAATCGACTCCCGTACCTACTAATTCTATTTTCGAAAACCATTTCTTTTTCTAATGTTTTAAGCAAAATATTGGTGGTTACTCAACCTTTTCAAAACCATTAACAGAGGTCTAGTTTGGTAATCGACATTTTGATGTTGACGAGATTTTAACAATGGAAGTCAATAAGCCATCTATTTTTAGGTTGGGTTCCAACAATGCCAAAGCTTTCAAGTAAATTCTCACTATTGTCATATGTATAAACCCTAAACCCTAAACCCTATTCTCACAAGGTCTAACTAGGTTCTATGTGGCCAATACGCAAGTACACAACAACAAATCTATTTGTCACAAAATTCATATAATTTTGTAAACAATGTATATTAAATCCATATTTCTATCCTATTTCACCCCTCAAGACCCAAATAATCAATTTTTCTCATTTTCCTCATAGATAACTTGAATGTTATCCACAAATGATAAGCTAAGATTTTCATGATCTCCAAAGACTACGATAAATATACTTTTACTCATACTTCACAAGAAAAACCTCACAAACATATACCATCCTATTAAATATATCAATTTAGATAACACACTAGCTAATGTGAAATATTTAACTAAGCATTGAAATTATAGTGAAAGTAACACTTAGAGCATGTTTGGGAAAACTTTTATTTTTCCATGATTTTCATTTGTTTTTGAAAGAAAGATTTATTTGTAAGAAAAATATTGGTTGTTTGAGACAACTTACATTTGTAAACATTTTTTTTTCTATAAAATAAGTTGTTTTCTCTATTTTGAAATTTATAATTATTTTTCGATTTCTTCTTTCTTTCACCTACAACTGATTTACTATATAAAAATTAATTTTTTGTTGTATCTAAACAAAATTAAACATCTCAAAATCATTTTTTAAGTAGATTTACCCAAATAAAAATCAATTCCAATTATAATCAATTATATACATGATTAATTATTCAAATAATCTAATTTTCACAATTTTTTTCAAACATACTCTTAGTTTTATCATAACTATTCAATAAAAATAATTGGACTTTAATATTTCAACCCATAAAATCGTATTATGGAGAAAACTCCAATATCATTAACTAGAAAATCTCTATTTACAAAATATCCTTACTCAAATTAATATCTAAGCACTACAACAAAAGGTATCATTAACGACAATTATTTAGTGGCAATAAGACAATTGCCTGTATATCATTATTAACTAAAATTTTTAGTGGCCAATAAAAATTAACCGGTAAAATTGTATTTATAGTGACAATTTTTAAAATTTCTGTTAATATTAATTTTTTATTTGGACTTTATTTTTTTACAAAATTCGTCACAGCCACTCTCGCTCACTCTCGCACTCACTCTCGCACAGTCTTTAGCTTTTCTTTGCGCGCCTCACTTCTCACTCTCACTCTCGCACGGTTTCAAGCTTCAGCCATGGCTTCTTCTATCTCTTGCTCATAGCTTCAATGGCTGTGTCAACTCATTCTCTTATTGGATCCTCATAAGGTAATATCTCTTGTGATTTTGTCTTCAATTTCAATTTTAGGGTTTGTTTTGTATGATTCATTTTTTTTTCCATTTCAAACTCTTTCTCCATCTCCATCTCTTTCTGTTACAAAATGAATGTTTCGATTTGATCATGCTCTGTTGCTATGTTAAGTGCCTAAAATTTCTAATGTAGTGTAGTTCCACTACTAGAAAATTGCAAAATAGCAACCGAAATTTAGCGACCGATTATAAAAAATCAAAATAGCGACCGATTTAGCGACCAAAATAAGTTGTCGCTAGAAAATCGGTCGCTATTTCGGTCGCTAAATCATTTTTTTTGATTTTTTAGAGACGGAATTAAATTCAGTCACTATTTCGATCGCTAAGTTATAAATTTTTATTTTTTTAGCGACAGAATTTAATTCGGTCGCTAAATATTAGTTAAAATTAGAGACGGAATTGAATTCGGTCGCTAAATAGTAGTTAAATTTAGTGACATAATTGAATTCGGTCGCTATTTCGGTCTCTAAATTATAAATTTTGATTTTTTTTAGCGACAGAATTGAATTCGGTCACTAAATAGTAGTTAAATTTAGCAACAAATTAAATTCGGTCGCTAAATTATAAATTTTTATTTTTTTAAGTAATTTCCATTGCTAACGTGCATAGGTTAGATCTCCCTTTTTATTCTTATTTATTATTTTCCAGGAAGGCATGTTATCTATATGAAGCCTAAAATGGGATGCAAAGACACTTGAGAAATTCAACGAATATCATTCTCATTGATTTGTTTGTTTAGAGAACATTCTTTGTACAAGATTCTTCGGTGCACTTTGACAATGTTGTAGCGGCCTAGAAAAACTTGCTTGCTCATTTTTTGATTTGCAATTAGTCTTCATTTCTTCTTGGACTTCTTTTCACTCTTACTGTTACCATAGGAAGTAATCGTCAATAAAATAAGGTCTTTGGGTTCACCATTGTTTCAGTGATTGCCAAAATTCTTATCTCTATTGACAAGGTTGATGGGTCGGAGAAGAAAGATGCAGTTAGGAGTGATTTGATAAGAGTCGGAGGGGTAAGGGGTGCTTATCATTAATTTTTCAATTCCTTGAGCTCATGATCTCTTATTCTCAAGAATCCCTTTTTATCAGTTTTCCTTACTATGTTTTTTCGAAGAAATTTCTTGTTTTTTTGTTTTTTGTTTTTTGCTTCGATTTTTTTTGTATACCTCCTTTTGAAATTTTGAATGACTCCAATCCTTTTTTAGCATGGCATCTTTCTAGGTTGGAAGAAATCCCAGAAGATGTAGACCTTATCTTTTACTGAAAGAATGATGGAAATCCCAAAGTTTGGTCAGACTTACTTAGTATAAGGGCACATGGACTAATGATTCTTGTAGTTTAGAATGTTCTCATTTCTCAAAGATCTTTGCATACTATGTTTATGCCTTCCATTTCTAATGAATGTATATGCTAAACTAAAAGATGCATGATATTTGTTTTTGCCTAAATTTTACCAAATTTTTTTACTAAGGATTATGATGCATGACTTTTTTTTGCTATGCACTTTTTGCTTTTAAAACAAACTATCCTATATGATGCTTTGGGGTTTGGGTATACAGAAGGGAGTTAATTTTTTTTTATTGATATTTGTTTGTTTGCGATTCTTATCTACTTGGAATAAATAAAAAAACACAACAAATGCCACACATATGCTCAAACAAATGTACACCCGCGAACAGTCACGTCCAAATCCTTGGTCTGTGGTCCTTGTCAAGAAAAGTGCGTTGTATAGGACGGTTCTAAGCTCACTTGGTCTTAAGGCCCCCAACGTGCCCCCATTATAGGGACCTAGTATCACTATCGTCGTCACCTAGCAGACTCTAAGGTCTGTCGCAGTATTTCGGGCTAGAGTAACCGGTTATAACCTTAAGTGTGATTTTTGACAAGGCTCGCAGGCTCTAAGGCCAAACTTGGGCAGGTCGGACGTCAACCACTCCCTATGTTTAATACCGTCATGCCCCCGGGTGTAGGGAGAATTGTTGTGTGCAAAGGATTGTGTACAATTGTTATTCAAACAAGTGTAGAATTGTTTCAGTGATTGCCAAAATTCTTATCTCTATTGACAAGGTTGATGGGTCGGAGAAGAAAGATGCAGTTAGGAGTGATTTGATAAGAGTCGGAGGGGTAAGGGGTGCTTATCATTAATTTTTCAATTCCTTGAAATAGGGTTTAGGGTTTAAACCAAATTTGCGACGTCTTTAAAATTTAATAAAATAAAAAATAAATATTTAGCGACCGATTTAGCGACCAATTTATTCGGTCACTAATTTGGTCCCATACACTAATCATTTCAACCATTTAGCGACCGAATTAGCGATCAAAATTTTCGGTCGCTAAATAGCGACCAAAAATTTTTCAGTCGCTAAATAACTTAGTGACCAAGGTTTTAGCGACTGATTAAATTCGGTCGCTAAGATAAATAGCGACCGATTTTTGCAATTTAGCGACCGATTTTGGTGGTCGCTAAATTGCATATTTTTTGTAGTGTTCATTCACAGTTATCACGTTGTAGTAGATCTTGTACAATCTATGAGACATGAATTTCCGTTACTTATGGCTGTTGCATTGCATATGCAGATTCTAAAGGGAAAAGTCATCTTTCTATTGCGGGCTACTAATTGCAATCTTGCAGTTTGATTTGAGCAACTAAAACAGGTTCGCATTGTTAAAAGTTATAGACCACTAATATGTTATCAATTGAATTTGTTAATGTTGTTTAAATAGCTTTCTTATATTTAGTTACGTGGCATTTGCTTTTCACCTGGTTTATGGAAGTCAACATAAGCTAAGTGATGATAAATGTTAAATACAACATTGGCTAGCATATCATAATATGAGCTAATGGTAATAAAAGTGGTTGGTTTAACAGAAGACAAATAAACAGCAAAGAGCTTTTGGCTTCTACAACCCATAAAACAAATAAGAGCTGAACTTTTCTGCTCAATAGAGAACCACGAGAAAAAGTGACAGAGGAAAAATGAAAGTTTCACCACTTTGGTATGGATTCTGGCTTTTTCATTTTTTGTTTTCATTGATGAGATTGTAATTTAAATGCTGAAGTGTTGATTCTTTTCTCAGCTTTTTGGTAGTTCCATTGTAGTTCATCACTTTATGGTAGAGTTTCTTCCTCCATTGGGAAAAAAGGTACCTGTTTCTTTCTTACTCGCCTAATATATTTTTTATTCTCTTGAAGATATGAAGGATTCACAGGAAAAGTGTTTTTATTGGGTGTTTTTCAAAAGTGAAGTTAAGTTTGGTTGGCTTGGTTTTGGTCTCTTCTTTTTTGCTTAGTTCATGTAGAATACATGTTATTGGGATAATACTTGTCTCAATTGGATCATAGTGATGGTTTCTCTAAATCAAAATCTTTAAGAATTTAAGGTTCAGATAAATACTTATTATAGTGCTGATGATGTGCTAGGTTGTTATTGGCCCGGCCACTGTTGGAGGAATTCAAGCTGGTGCTTTTAAGATAGGTGATACAGCTGGAACAATTGACAACATAATTCATTGCAAACTTTACAGGCCTGGATCTGTGGGATTTGTTTCTAAATCTGTATGTAGTTATTCATATTCCTGTTTATGTCAATTTCACCTTTCTCGTATTAAGGATAGATTTTGGCTAAGAATCAAAGAGACTCACGTATTAATATTTTGGCAAGCACTCAACTATGTGGATTTCAGAATGGAAGTTATGTATGTATGGTGATGTATCGATTTAATACAGAATTGGAATCCTTCTTAATAGTAAAAATTGGTAGTAAACTTGTGTGATAGGATTCTGTAACATTAGTAGCCACAATTCCCCCACCATACCCCTCTCCTGTTGATAGATAATGGCACTAGCTACTATAGCTAAGATGGTGTGCTTAAATTTTTGCGAGTGAAATTGCTTTTATCCAATGTTAGATTACTAAATAGTGCTTTATAGTCGCAAAAAATTTGGAATTTGAGCTTTATTTGTTTTGGCATGGTATGATGTATACACCATTGGTTTTGAGAAAAGAAAAAATTATTGAATTGCAGGGTGGGATGTCCAATGAATTATAAAACAATATTGCCCGTGTATTGTCCAATGAATTTGGTCATGCTGTATGTCACTGGCCTATAATATTGGATTAATTCTTAGTTAAAGCATTTATCAATAAATTCCTAATATTCATTGGTACTTGCATAAATTAGGGAGCTTAAAGTGGTGGTGAGATGGAGTCTGCTCAAGCAAAGAATCAGGCAGTAAGAGAAGCTGGAGCTGTTGTTCCCACTTCATATGAAGCTTTTGAAGCTGCAATACAGGAAACATTTGCCAAATTGGTTTGTTTATCTTGAAAATTTTCATCTTTCTAACTGAGATTTTTACTTTGTCCCATCCCCCAAAGGGTGCAATGTTTAAAAGAAGTCTCTTCAGATTCCTATTATATGTTTTGATATCGTAGTTGTCTTTTCATTTGTTAGGTTGAAGAAGGGAAGGTCCCACCTGTTAAAGAGTTTACTCCTCCTCCAATCCCTGAGGACCTTAACATTGCAATTAGGAGTGGGAAAGTACGTGCTCCAACTAACATTATTTCCACCATCTCTGATGACAGAGGTATGTTGGGATCTATTGGTGTTGTAAGTTGCAAGTTGCAACTTGGGAATGAGGTGTCTTAGACACATTTAATAGCTAAATTTAAGTTCTTTTCACCAGTATACGTGGAATATGTTTTGACCTTGGCATGCCATCAATTATTCCATTGTTTTCATACAGGAAAGGAAAAAAAATATAACCAAACATTAAAATAGTGGTCATACGTATATTAAAATCAAATGTTGTCTAATAGCTTGCTTGTTTTGTCAACTTATGGTGCTTTTCCTCTGGCTATATATATATGCAAGATAAACTAGTGAACTAGGAAAATAGTTGCATAGTGTTTCCAATCTCATCATCTCATATATACACAATTATATATTCTGTTTCTATTCAAAATGTATAACGGTGAAGGTACAACACAAATAGAAATTCAAAATAGAAAAACTTGTAATTCTTCTAAAACTCTAGAGAGAAAAAATCATTGTCGAGTCTTTTTATACATGGACTGATGAGTGCTAATCGTATCATTATACCTTGTTTTTAGAAATTCAATTTACTCTTTGGAAGAAAAAGATGGTGAAACTCATGCATTTGATACACCCAAGTGATCTTGTATAAGGTTCAATGATGAACCCAAGTGATCTTGTATAAGGTTCAATGATGAAATAATGCAAGTTCTAACAAAAATTTCCATTGGTGTAAAATACCACCCTTTCTTTTACTCACAATTAATTGTTGCTATTTTGTATTGAATTAATTGTCATTGTGGCAATCTGAAATAACATATAGCAGATCATTTTCAGCAGCTATTGTTTAAGCATTTTAGAACTCAAATGGTCAACAATTATTTTTCAAGGATTTCACAGAAGAGATGAATATCTTCTCTTAGCGTAAAAACTTGTCAAAGACACTTTTCAGTTTATCTGGTATTTCTAATGCAATGAATTTGATTCTTTCATATTTAAAGAATTATCTTATTCAAATTTAATTGTCGTTTTATAATTCATCATACTTTGGTTAAGCACATGAAACTAAAATTTTCAGAATGCTACTACCCTGACTAATTTTATACTGCCATCTGTAGGTAATTGGTGTTTGTATAAATACTGAGTGGAGATTATTGATGGCAAGTATCTCAGAGGATACTGGAGAAGAGACTCCATTACAGGTTCCCACCACATACCCCATCCAAAACCAAAAAAACGTTGTTACTTTAGGTGTACATTAAAGAAAGATAAGTGTCACATTTAAACTTTTAACATATTTTTAGTGACATTTAATAGGTGCGTTTGAATGGAGTAGCAACTTTTATTGGCATAGTTGGCCTTACTGTAGTTGTTTCTGTCCTTGCAGTCCTCTTTGGAAGGTAAACATCAGTTGTTCTTTTGTAGTTAATGAATTTATTATACAAGCTCAGGCCAACTTTGATTAGTTGTGTAATTATTTTGGAATGCAAGATACTTCTCTGGTCATACGAAAGATTTAAATGGAAAAGTACAATATGCCTCTAGCATATTGCCTGATGAAGATAAAGCGTTTTCTAAGTTATGTTATGGGAGTTATGACTAGGATGAATGGTGGTTTTGTAGTGTGATTATGACTGGTTTCTTTTGTATTGAATTTGAACAATATGAGGAAAGTAAAAAAATTCATTTTTTTTTTGGCAATTTCAAACGGTTAGAAAATGTAAATAAGAAAAAAGATGCAATTTTGTGGTGGTTTAAAACCGTCAGAAATGTTGAATTAAGAAAAATTTTAGATACATTTGGTGGCGGATTTTAACCGCCAGAAACTGCCTAGAATTGTCATTAAAAAATTTTATTTTTTCCAGCCATTTAAAAGGTCTTTACCAGCACTCACTTTAAATGCCACTAATAGTTTTACCGACCCCGAATACACCGGCCATAATCTAATTGCCGGTAAAGATATTAATGGCCATTTGTATGGTCGCTAAATAACATAAAACTTGCGACAAAAAATCATTTTTGATGTTGTGAAGAAATACAATCACCTAAGCTAAGATTAAGTTGTATTAATAAAACATTGATCAAGTGTATTAAACTCAAAAATAGGATATAAATTAGAGTTATAAAAAATTTCACAAAATAACTTTCAAATGAGTAAAAGCTTAAATAAGTGACGCGTTTTAAAATTCATAGGTATAACAACCATTAATATGTATAGAATAATTTTTCCATTTCAAAATTTTTATAAAACTCCAAATATAGACAAATTTAGTAAAAAATAATCTTTTTTTTTTCTAAAGTTTATCAAATATAGACAAATTTAGTAAATAAAATCTAATAAATAAAAATTTTGAATCAATTAATTTCAATTGGGTTGGATCGAGGGCAAATAGAACTTCTCACTAAGTCTACTTTTTTTTTTATAATATAATATATGTGTGTGTTCTCACTAAGTATACTTTTTTATAATATATGTGTGTGTGCGTGTTTGTATTCTCACTGAGTCTACTTTTTTTATAATATAATGTATGTGTGTGTGGGTGGGTGGGTTTGGGTGTGTTGTGTGCATGTGCATGCGAGCATGCATGATATCATCAATTTCTCACAAAAAAAGATACTTCACTCAATTTATATAAGAATCATCAAAATTGAGTTCACAACAACATTGTTTTTGAGAAAATTCATCAAAATCCGTACAAAAATCATAAAAAAAATACGATTCCAATGACTGTAAAACCTCAAAAGCACAAGATTAAATTCAATTTTAACAAACTACAAGACTATTCACATTTCGAATACCAACAAGGAATTTCCCAGTATTATTTTCTTTTTAGGAGTGTATTTAGTAATTTTGGGGGATGCAATTAGTATTTGGATGTGTTTATTGAGTTTATTTGTACCATGAGAGAGTGGGGTGTGTAGGCCCACATGTTGAACATCCACTTCTAGTCCATACAATTCTCTCATTAGTTTAAACAAAACCAATTCACATGTTTCACACACTAGTCACACTTTTGGCATGTTTGCTTCTACAACCCATTTTCTACTACCACACCCCCATCACACTTTTTGCACCTTGCCATGTAGCAACCTCTTATTGATTCTTTTAGATTTAGGATACTGACATTTCTTGGAGGAAAATTCAAATTTGAATTTCAACTAGAGTTAGTTGTCTTGAGTATAAGTTAACCTAATATTGGTTACACTTAACCTTGGTTAGTTTAACTTGCACCTCAAGTTACCAAACTATAAATTCATGTTCCCTCTCTTTAGCTTAACACTTTTCAGTTGAATAAGGGTTAAATTTCTAAATTCTCTCTTCAAAAACTCTAGTTCTCTTCTTGAAAAATTTTCTCCTTAAGAACTTTTATCAAGGACTTCCTTCTTATGACAAGTTTATCATTCTTACTTATCCTTCTCTTGAAGGTGACACCAATCACTCTCTTCTTCTTCCATCTTTGTTTGATTTCTTTTGCATTTCGAGACATGGAGGAAGATTGAAGGAGCACGGAAGCTAGAAAAAGAGATTCTATTTTCATCTTTTCAACTAAATTCATCATATTGGGTATCATGAACCTTGGCTTCATCCATAGAGGTTTCATCTTATTTTTTTTGTCATGCTCATAATATCTTACATGTCTTGTGAAATATATGTTGTATAGGACTAGTTTTTGTTTGCTAATTCTATGGATCTATGTTTATCTTAAAAATTTTGGTTCAAAATTTTTTAAATCTAGTATTCTATGAATTAAATCTTGTTGTATGCTTTTAGGATTCATGTTCTATGAGCTTTCCTCTTTATTTTAATGTATTTTGAGGTGTTTGAAAATATGAAAGAAAAACTCATATAAGTTTAGTTTGATTTTTTGAAATCTGCGCAAAATACATGTTGTCTTAGAGCCATATATAGTCCTTGTTTGTCAAGACTTCTAGTTAATCCTTGCTTGTTTTGAAATCTTGAAAAATACTCTGTTCTTGAGCTGGTCAAATAGTATTGAAAACTTTTATGCTTCTAATTTTTGAATTCATACATGTTATAATATCATTGGCATGTTCTATTAGTGTTAGGTTTACTTTTGTCTAGTAGTTTTCATTATCTTTTATTTTTTTTCTTACTTTTTGTGGCTTAATTGAATTCAAATTTGGTAAATTATCAAGACACTTGTGGCTACAGTAAATTTTTTTTTGAATTTTCTATTTTGAAGTTCAAAAAAACCTTCCAAAAGAAATGCATAACTAAAAACAAATATTACCTCAAAAATTCTCACCAAAATTTGGTGTAATTTGAGTTTCTACTTCTAAATTTTTTTGCAATTTTGAGCTTCTCATCTTAGGAACAATTGTGACAAAAATTTCCATCAATATTATCAAAAGAAAATAGTAACAAATTTGCTCCAAGATAAAATGAAATAAAAGTGCAAAAAAAAAAGGAAGAAATAGAAAAGAAAAAGTACAAGAAAAGAGAAAAAAATTATTTTTTTAAAAAAATATGAGCATTTGTGAAAAGAAAAAATTAAATTAATTTTGTCACATTTTATTTGACTTAAATTTGCATTTACTATACGAAAGTGGACTTAAGTCTTTGTTACTTTTGTCGTTCAATTCTAGAACCTTTCCTAGAAACTTTCCTTTGAAGTTCTAACATTCCAAATAATACCTTAATTCCAAGTGAAGGTAAACCAAGACACATTGCCATAAGGTAGCATCTTGGAAGGTTAATAAAGGTCTATGAGGAATTGCTCCTTTGTTGAGACTAGCTTTGGAAAACCTTTAAGATTAAGCACCAAAGAAAAGAGTGATAAACACTAAAAGACCTCTTAGACTAATGAGTTTGTTCATTCTAAAGAAGACTTAGAGGCTACAATATACTTGTTTTTATTTCATTTACTTTAATTTCCTTTAATTTCTTTCTTTTAAAAACCTTTTTTCATTTGGAAGTGGTTTTGAGAGGTTCTACATACTTTTAATTTGTTTGTTATTTGTTTAAGTAATTTTTTTTTGTGCTTGTAAAAGTGTGTTGGAAGACTCACAAATGTCTACCCAAACTTTCACAAAGGAACATGTCTTGCATGCATACTTTTATTTTCTTTACTATTTCCTTTTTAATTCATTTAAACATTAGAGTGCTTAAGAGTTTCTAAAGACTTCTTTAAACACATTAGGTTGCCTTTTTGTTTAATATAAGAAAAACCTTAATTTCTCTCATTTGCATCATGGCCAAAAACACATCACACATTTCTCTCGGTGATAGTAACTCTAGTTTAACTCCAAATCTTTCAAAACTAATGGCTAAACTAAAAACACTAAAATTGTAGAGAAAGGAGGAAAGGTTAGAAAAGTAAAAAAAAAAAGAGATAAAGAAGAATTGGAAGCAAATCTAAAGCTTGAACTTAAAAATGTAAACGAAAGATAAGAGCTCTTAGAAGAAAAGTATAAGAAAAAATGTCGTTGTAGCTTTTCCAAGAGCAAGGAAAGTGATAGTCAAAACATGAGTGACTATTGCCATAATATGCCTAGGAACCATAAAGACAAGAAAGGGAAAGAATATTGAAGAGAATCTAAGGTGAATATCCCTCATTTTCATGGAAAAGATGTGAAGACTTACCTTGACTAAGAAATCAAAGTGGAACACCATTTGAGAAGTTCATTTCAAGTATCAGTTATCAATGCAACATCACTTCTATACATTCACAAAAAAATTATAAATTATAATCATACCAAAGGCCATACCTCTCATAACTTCACACTAATCCTAATTAAGCTAGGCTTCTTTCCAATAAATTTTAAACTTAGGTCACAACAATAATTTCAACATCAGTTGGTAGCTTTAGTATATTTGTTGTGCATTTCTAAATCATCCATCTTGTGATCCAAAACAATTAAATACTCCTTACCTATTTATTTCACGTCGGCCAAAGAAAAAAATTTGAGTATTCTAAGCCTTGCACTAATGCCTTGAACGAGTAAACCACAAGAAAAATGAAAAATGTACTTATCCCAAAATCTTAATCATCTCTTCCATGGATCTTGATAGAAAAGGAAACCAAATTGGGGGAAGTTCTTATTTGTCTTAGTTGTACCAGAAAGAAAAGAGAAAGGAATTTTTCATTGCAGGTTTAGATAGATTAAGTGACTTTTTTTTTATTTCGCACTGGTGTCACAAGGCTTCACTTTAACTAAACTGGCTCGACCAAGAACTAAGTAAAGCATGATCAAGGATTATTTTTGTTAAGAATCGAATTCAAGCACTGTCAGGACGATTTGACCTTGAATTTAACACATTAACCACTTATACCTAATTTATTGATTAGATTAAATGACTATTCAACCACAATTCACTTAAAATTAAACTTT